GTTCAGGAAAACAAGACCTGACTTGGCCATTTATTCCACTGCAATACATTAAATTTCTTAAAGGAGGAAGAAAGAAGGGGAGTGGGAGGGAGAAAAAAAATGAGAGACAGAGGAAAAGAAAACTGTTACACTGGCTTCAGTTTCTATTTAGAACAGCTAATCAGTTTTTTTTAAATCACAAATGCAAATTAAAAGTAGTATAATTTATATTTTCTATGTATACTCAATTTATGACCAATATTTACTTTTCTATATGCCTTCTGCTTTTATCTTTGTATTTTATTTCCAACTTTATTTTCTGCTGTTTCAAATATTATGAAAAAGCAAATGCTTAAACAACATAATGCAGTTGAAAAGCGGTGTCTTTTTCCACATTTGCAGATATGTCCAAAGCTAGTTTTGATGTCAAAGAGAAAAAGATACTTGAAGCTGCTTGCTAATGTGCAGTTTGCACAGCAAGGCAAGTCAGTGGGAAAACGACTTCTTTCCCTCACCTTCAGCTAGCACTCAGGATTTAACGGGAAGCTCACCACAGACAAACTTTCTTTCACATGCTTATTTCACATATTATCACTGCACTGATAAAATGACTTCATAGTTTACATGCCCACTTCAATTTTAAAATATTGAAAAGACAATAAAAATTAAGACTACCAGACAAGAATCACCTACGCAACATTAGACTGGCTTCTAAATTAGTGTCTAATGAAGCGTTTGGTATCAGTAATAAAGACATATGACAAGTTCAATCTTAGTGACTCTAGCTCCATTCTATACCTGAAGAAAATCTTTCATTAAGTTGTATTTTGCTATCACACTAACCACCTATAGCACCATGGGAAGTGTATTATATTTGAGCAATTATCATTTCACATCCCGAGATGTATACATTTACTGAAGCAATTTATCAGTTTCAAAAAATGTCATTCAGATCCAAGTGACTGTCACTAAAGTATATGGAAGTCATATTTGGCATGTGTTAAGTAAGCCCCAATGTTTAAATGGTATATATTTGGCATGAAGGTCAATCCAAGTAGACTGATGACAACACGCCTGTCGTTAACTTGAGACTAGCATCCTTTCCCTAATCAACCTCCACCTCATATCAGCTTGAATGTATTTCAGGTAAGCAGATTAATCTATATTTCAATTGCTTTGAAACTGAAACATGACTTCTACTGGTTTTAACACCAAAAAGTAGAAGTGAGAGAATATGTACTGCCACCAGTCAAATTCAGGACACACAGTGACAACAGCCTCTCTGAACCATTAACATGGGCTTCTAATAGACAACTGTGACACACTGTACATTGTATAAATCTACTTGAAAATAAGATCTATTTTATAGGGGAATAAAACTGCAAATGCTTTTGAAAACCTTTCCAATACTGTGGGAATATAGACTAGTTGGTGATTTCCATTACTCTATATTCTAGCAATTTCCTTTAGAATCGCACCCACGACCCAGTTATTTCCCTCCCATCACAGGCAAACTCTTAAATATGCTTAATAAACACTTTTTACAAAATCTAATTTGCCTTGCCTGTTGTTTTTAGTACATAATTTAACATCATCTATTGATAATATTTGCACAATAGTGTATAGACTTGTGCTGCCAGCCCAGATCCTTAGGGCTGCACAATCTGGATAGTAGACCTCCCAGTTTTTCTGGGGAACAAAGTGCCAGAAGGAGTGTTAGACGTAATGACCTGTCTCCATGAGATGAACAGAAAACAAAACAGTAAAAACAGTCTGCAATTGTAATGGACTAACCTGTCACTCATAATCATACGTTTACAAAAGAGAAAAGACGTTGAGAGGTGGATATTTAAGTCTTTGTTTTTAAATGATAATTCAATCCCACAAGTCAAATCCTTCTTAACTGCTGAGCTTGAATTTAATTTGAAATTATTTGAAGGATAACAATCCGTTGTTTGGAACAAGGGTTTAGGGAGCTTACTCTAGATAATTACTATCAAAAATCTGATTTGATTTCTAAAAATTGTATGAATGAATCGAGTTTCTTGGTCTTGATATACTAGGCAGAGAGCTTGTTCTTCCAAGTCTAGACTGCTTAATTGCTTGCTTGAGGGAGGGAAAATCCTGAGGGAGAGGCATATATGAGCAATATCTGCTGTGTGAAGCCAGAACTCTCCCAAGCTAGATCATGCCCAGTAATGCAGAAAGGTCTGATCTTCCCTCCAGTTGAAATGACCATATGTATTTGATCCAAGAGCTGAATGAAAAAGGAAAGCAATACTGACCACATTTCATAGAAACCTTTCAATATTTTTGAATGGAAAACATAGCTCGGAAATGTTTGTTTGCTTCTCCCAGCTAAAGCCATTTAGATACAAGAATCAAAACAGGAGGGGGGGGACAAAAATAAATACCCCAACACACATTCTAGAAGAAGCAGCAGCAAACATTTTGCATTATCAAGTGGGACTGTCCACACCTGCGGAGTATGTTTTGGAGGGTATTTAGTCAAGGGCTTGAAAACAAAGCCCCCTTTTCTGTCTATGAGGAACTGCAAAGTAATTTCCCCCTTTTCTTTTCCTTATGTTACAAACAATCAGTTGAAGAAACATTCCCATCTGTGCCGTAATAGTTAAAATGAATCCATTTCAAGTGTTGACCATTTTAATATTTGTCTTTATAAACATGAGTCAATTTAGACTTCTTTGGTATATATAAAAAACTGTAAGGTATTTCCCTCTCCATTTAAATAGTGCTTCAATTTCAAATTAAAGAAATGAGCATTTCAGTGTGTGCCTTTAAGTACTGAAATTCTTTCAATCTTCAAAATAACTGCTTCTGTCACACCTATCTTCACAATAAGCATGAGTTTTTTAAAAAACAAATAATTTTTGAAATGTAGTGCCTGAAAATGCAGATCTTTGGATGCAACTATTTACAAAGTAATAATAACTCATTAGCATTAGTGTGCTTTCTGGACATGGACCTTAGGAGATTCCTAGTGTGCATGCAAGACAGAGACAGAGCTAAGGCAGAATCACAAGTACTTAACCTTGACAAATAAGAAGTTTTGCATTTGTAAAATATACACTAGTTCATCCTTAAGGGTTCATGATGGGGCCTTTTAGAAGTATACACATTTCCAATTGATTTCCAATAAAAAAAAATCTTAAAGAACAAACTAAAAATGTTCTTTCTCTTTTTCCACTGGAAACATATACAAAAGCAAACCAGAGTAATTTTGCCCAGTACTATGCACCATAACTATTTCATGGAGAAACAGTATATGGCAACTGAAGAAAAGTTTTATTAAACAGAATAAGACAGCTGTCATGGGTTCACATTTTAATCATACATAAAAACCTCATCTCCTTTAGCAGATCTATACTTAATTCCCCACTACAAAATTATTTGGGCTCCAATTGATACACTTTTCCACTAGCACATACTTACAGTACAGCAGGTCTTGGCAGTATATAGAATTAGTTGCATATTTTCTCCTGACAAATATATGAACACAGCCTTCACTTTATAACATGCCAACAGAATAAAAAAACAACCTCAAAGTTTAAAAGAATTTTTTTTCTGTTCAAGCAAACATGTACTTCTTTTAAAATAATGTGAGCATGTGGAAATATGGTATTACGTATCTGACATTTTCCATCTAGAAATGCATTATGAGGCATGCTGGTGTTAATAAGCTATGTACCATCAGACTCCTGAAGTGCCTCTCTATAATTTGGTCGAAAACGGAGTAAGAAGGTATATAACTACCATGCAATTAACATACAGCAAACACATTTTATGTCTTCACCTTGACAGTGGAAAGTGTGCAAAAAAAAAAAAAAAAAAAACCCAAAACTTTTTAGAGTTCATAAATATTCGTAGTCACATTCTGATTTACCAGTTAACAGTTCTTAAGCAAGCATAGAGAACTTAGAAAAAAATTTAAAACAAAGCACATTTCAAAGAAAAACTGTGTATTCCTTTTTTTTGCGTACCCCACCCCCATCACCCTCCCTCCAGCGGGGCACCGTCATTCCTTTCAGCACTCCGGTTATCAGAAGGCAAATGAAAAGACAATGATCCTTTCCTCCTCTCATTTAGCTTCCGACGCAAACATTTAAGCACAAACATAAAGTACCGATTTAACAGAAAGCTCCGGACAGAGAGAGCAGGACTCACTGACCCATTTGGAAGACAAAGACGACAGAACAGCACAGCTCTAAAGATCAGCTTGTGAGGCCTCTGAGAGATATCCTTCTGGCATTTCATCACAGGAGCCCCAGACCAGTTCACCTCCCTGGATACAGAGAGGAGGAACTAAATAGAGCTGTTTATTAAAGCTGCTGTGCTGGATTGCATTAGGAAGCTCGGGCAGGCCACCTGGACCTTTCAGATTGTGGCGGTGTTTAATTTGCAGCCTGCCCCTCTGCAGCAGAGGAGGCGAAGGGCTACTACTATATTTACCAGGCTCAGTTACACACCACCGGGACTGAAGTAAAGGCACTTGTATTTGTGTACTTATATTTTCCATACAGACGGTGGGGGGTGGAGGGGATAGGGAAGAATACAATCTAAATAAAAATATTGAATAGCACTATAAAAAAAATTGTAACTACTACCTAGGAAGCATGGCACTTTATTTCCTTCTCATACTTTATTTCTTTCAGAGATCACAATATAGGTAGAAAAAAAAATAAATTCTCAAAATGAAAGTTTGTTTGTTTGTTTGTTTGTTTGTTTCCTATTCAGCCCAAGTCGTAGATTTGCTATGCTCTTTGAATTTCTTGGTGGTGATTTTGTTTTGGTCTCTGTTTTACGAGCATCACACCGAAGTTTCCAGCTCAGCTTTCCTAGCCAGATTTAATGGGCGCCTTTTGCCTTTCGCACTTTCAGCACTACGCTGGCAGGTAGCTGAAGACACAGATAGAAAGATGGTACAGTAAATATGAATTATGTGAATCATATGGTGAGACCCTTGTGGAAAAGGGGGAGTTGAGAAATGGCTGACTCCATACCTGACCAATTACAGCTTGCATGGTCCCCGTGTCCTGCTGCGCTGGGAGATCGCAATCCATCATATGTTGTCTTTGAAAAGGAGACTGGGGGTTTCTGGCATGCATCTGTCAATCAACTTCTGCACTCACAACCATCACCAAAAGCAAGGGGAAAAAAGTCAAGCTGCTCCACCAAATAGGATGAGACTGTCATGTGACCTCCGGCAGAGACACACACACATTCACTACCTCCATAGAGCATAAGAATTTTCTGTAGATATGAAATGACATTGACAAATATCCAATACCTAGTAAATAAAGTGAGACAAAAAGCTATTCACCACAGACAAAATGTTAGCTGTAATCTTCTGCTAATGGTATATAAAAAATAAAAACAAAAATGTGAGGATTCTTTTTAATGCTCTAGAAGTATATTTTAAAAATAACTTTTTATGTGATAATTGAATCTTTTTTACAATATACATTTTTAAAATTGTAAACTCATTGTTGGACTTCTGTTAAGCTGTCCCTTGTGATTTTGTTTTCAAACCTTCTAAATGACATTTTGATGACATTAGTTTTATAAAAAGTCACCGTTATAGAAAAGCTTAAAATATTAACCATTATATATCACAGATGCCCTGATATTTATTGATTGGAAATGGATATACAATCTGATGACTACTCAAACATAAAATATTCAAAGTGTGTAAATAGTAGTCACTAAACTTTTCATCTTCCAAAAGGTTAGGGAAAGATTTACTTCCACTTCATCCAAACTGATGTGCTACAATAGACAATACTTCCACTTTTTCTCCCATTTAAATAACGTTTTCTGATCCTACATACTGTAGGACAGGTTGCTGGTGTATTGTGGGCCATCTATTACAAGACATGAAAATAACCAAGTAGCTTTTTAACCCTTTCAGTATTAAGAACCTGATTTTGAAGACAATCCTACAGATAGTGCAGACTTGCTCTTTGAAAAGCCCAAATCACAAATGGCACTATTTATTTAGTGACTTTGTAAATTGATGGTTCTGTTTGCTCACTCTTTCAACAAGAGCTCATTAATTACTGCGTTTTCCTTAACAAAGAAAAAAGGAAAAAAAAAAACCCAAAAGATTTTGTGTTATAAAATGAGAACTCTTTAAGACTAAAATCTCATGTTAATATTAAAATTGGCAAGTGCACACAAACACATCACACCACACAAACACACACAAACACACCAGCATCCACAAGCAGAAGGAACTGCTGCAGGTCTTGAGAAACGAGGACTGGAAGATCCCACTAAACACCATTAGAATTCACAGTCCACGCTTAAGCCTCTGTCCTAAGACCCTAGACAGGGACATTGACACAAAGGGGTGCTTCTGTAATCACCCCTAAAACAGGGCCTTGCATAGCCATCTTATCCTTAGCCGGGATAGGGTGGGAGAGGCTGAGGCTGTCTGTTAACCAAGGTGGGAACCTGCAAGGGCTGAGCTAAACATGTGGGTGTTGGAAACCTTCCTGTTGCAGTGTCAGAAGAACTGGGAAGGGGTAATGGGCTCTGGGGACTTTCGGCAGATTCCAGGCAGACAGGCAGAATGATGGCCAGGCTGAGTTGCCAAGTTGTAGGAACGGGCAGGGTGAGCATCTGTCCAGTCCCTGAGATCTGGTGACCCATGATTAAGCCTGGAGTAGTCCTGGGACTTTTGGGCTTCCACAGCATGAAGTGACCTGCCCCTGCTCTGAGCTAGCCCTGAGCCAGCTTTATGAGGACTCTTGTGGACTCCCTAGCAGCCAGTTTCCTCTCTCTTGATGTTCAGTGTCCTCCCGGGGACCTTAGCTTCCTAAGTGTCTCCCCACAGGAACAAAAGTGGAGGTGGGGGGGTCAGGCTGGTGGGGGGTCAGGCTGTAGTATGAGGAGACCTTTGAAGCTCTTTTTTCCACGTTTTGGTGTTTGTGACTGGCTGCAGGACGCCACGGCTTGCTCATAACCTATCTAATAATCAGCTGTAACTCCTGTGGGTGAGCCTGGAAAAGGGCTTGAGCCAGGCACTCCCAGACCTTTAGTTCATTATCTCCTGGTGAAACCCCAGGGAGACCTGACAGTTATTTCCATTTCACAGATGAGGCTCAACAAAAGTAAATGAAAGCTGTGACTTAAAGTTGCTTTAAATCCAAAGATTGAACTTCTATGAAACTGGAGCCAGCTAGCATTTAAAATAATAATTTTAATTTAATTATAATGGTAATGATTTAAATTAAAATAACAGCTACCTTATATACATTGACTTCTTTGACAAATATTTATGCCAACTCCTGTGCTCAGCACTGGAGACACAGCAAACCTTGCAGGTTACATTTGAAACAATAAACATAAGTAGAGAGCTTCTTCTCTATGTGCTGGAGGAAGTTTATACTTCTAGAATGGCTCATATATAGGTATCTTTCCATCTATGACCTATGCTGCCTATGGCCTTGGGCAGGTGGCAGATTCTCTGACCTTTCAAAGAAATTTCCCATTTTTATACCAGAGACGATAATCTCTTCAAGGATTTGGGAAGATGTTTCATGGAAGCTTATTGGGTTATATTTTGCTGATATTCAAGAAATCTTAGTTATTTCTCACCTGGGAGGGCATTAGAAAGACAAGAAAGGTGAGTTCTACTGGAGAATGAAGAAGACCACGTGCAGGTAGTAGAAAGGTTTGGGTTGTGGTATGAAAAGAAGGCACCTCCTGCTCCTCACAAGGACAGCGTGGTCTGTGCTTGTCACGTGACCCCCCAGCTCCCACTGTGAGTGGCACACATGTTTAAGAATTGTAGAGTGGAAGACAATTGAGAGAGACAGAGAGAGAGAGCAGGAATGAAGATATTTACTTCCACCCCTACAATAGAATTTAGGAAAGGAAATCCACTAAGTGAAAAGCTTATTACGACTGCAATCCTTTCTGCCTTCTCTCCTCATTCGGTTTTCATAAAATCATACAATGCTAACCCATTTCGACTACCTCTTTCATCATGGTGCAAGATGACACTGGGCTCCCAACATAGACTATCTTAGATAACAGATGGAATGAGCCAGGCAAAAAGAGGTCCTAGCATTGTTCCTGACTCTAACTCTCAGCTTCTTGAACTAGAAATTACCCTGACTTCTTAACATTAAGCCACAAAGAATGCAAAGATAAAGGCAATACTGAAACCAAGGTAGAGTGATATTTAGATAGACTTTCCATTCAAAGATAGACTTTGAACTCTTCAGAGATAAGAGATGCCATACCTAGACACTTCTCCAGCCCAAGGACCAAGCACAGTAAATGGTGGGTACATGTTTCCACAAAATTCATAAACGAACATCTCCTCCTGCAAGACAGCTAGACTCCATTTTCCCTTGTGCTATTAGAATGTGTAAGTTTACATCAGCATACCAAAGCCTGCCTTTCTACCTGTTGAGATCCGCTTTGTGTCTCTGCTGTTATTTGCTTCTCTCTTTGGTTGCAGTGATATCATCCTTGTCCCTTGCTTGCTCATACTTAATGTTCACATTTACATTTCTGATTCCTGAAAGATTGGCCTTAAAATTTTCTTGATTTCTTTTCTAGATCTCTTCAGCTAACACTCCCTCGATATTTTCTCCAGATTACACAGCACTTTTGTGTAATGGGGTTTATTGTAGTGGTTTGGCATCCATAGTTTTCCAAATTCCCATGGACATGATTCAGGAAAGCTGGAGTAGATACCTGTGGTCCAGACTCCCTTTCCACAGTCTTTGGTTTACTCTGCTTCACTCTGTCTTCCTTTTCAAGGTCAAGTTTGTCAAATTTTCTGCACCATCACCGGCTGGATGATCTACTGCTTTGTCTACTTCCACCATCACATTTTTAATCTATCATATCTTGCAGAGGACTTCTCTGGGATGGTCTTTTCGATCACTAGCTGTTCCTTAAGCAATATTACATATCGTGGCTTCCACAGGACACTGACCAGCATAAATAATCTGCACCCTGGGGTCCTTGGTTGTTCTTATTTTCATATTTCTAGAAAAGTGAGCACAGGAAATGATCACAAGCAGAGGGATGAGAGTACAAAGAGGAAAGGAGGGAAAAGCCATCATCCCCAGATCCAGGGAATGCAGAATTGAGAGGGCTTTGATCATGCCAGGCTCACTCACCAAGACTTGGTGAGCACTTGTGATTTACAGTTTCCTACAGTTTAATTTGGGACCACTATTTTTTGGTTTTGGTTTGTTGTTTTGTTTTTCCTCCTTGAAGAACAGTGACAAGATAGTGCCTTTAGAATGAATAGCTGAGAAGTAGTTCAAGAACCTGTTGACTCTGGACAAGGAGGATCCATGAACATACTATACACTATCTGATTATCTGACCTCTGACTTTGCTATCTTTTCTAACTGGGCACCATATTCAGAATGGAAAAAATAAAAAGGCATCACGGGGAACTAATATCTGTTTTATACTCCCATTATTGCCTTTTGTTACAGCTTGGTTTTCTTGGCTCCATTTCTTATAGTCAGAAGAAGACATGAAGTAAATGTTCTTGAACTTCACAGTACTTTGTCAGTTTTGGTATCTGAACCTAAACACTAATACAATTTCTCATGAAAGTCCATCCTGGTAGGACAGCTGTATAGTTTGTTTCCTTAACACTATGGCCCACAGGGGGACTTCCTTGCCTTTTTCATGGCTAAAGAGCCACATGTCTGAAGAAGTTAACCAAGGTACCATTTGACTCTTTATTCTTCATACTGGTAGATTTGAAGCATTGGAATCTGTCCACTATTTTAAAGATCAGTTTTAAATGGGTGTCTCAATGGAAGTAGATTCATTAAGAGAATATCACCATTCCTAGGCCTTCCTTTGGCAAATTCACTGCATTCTAACCTTCTCTGCAATCTCAGCCACCACCAATATGACAACACCACAAACCAAGGACTGATTCCAGAAAGAGAATGAGCACTGAGGACCTAGGTTGCCCAGAGGTCTTCTCAGGAGGAGCAGAAGGCTGAATGGTTTTCAAAATGACACTGAATGTGACCTTCCTCTTGCACTCTACTCTTCTGAAGAATGCACAGTGGAGGCTTTCTGGGGCTGTGTGACTTAAGATTAAGATTGCTACCAGCCTGAATGAGGAAGCAGGTCGGAGACTCCAAGTGCCTCTCTCT